TTGTTGTTGTGTTTGATTGTGTTGTTTGTTGTGTTTGATTGTGTTGTGTGTTGTTGTGTTGTTGTGTGTTGTTGTGTTGTTGTTGTTGTTGTTGTTGTTGTTGTTGTTGTTGTTGTGTTTGTTTGTTGTTGTGTTGTTGTTTGTTGTTGTGTTTGATTGTGTTTATTTGTTGTTGTTGTTGTTGTGTTTGATTGTGTTGTTGTTGTGTTGTTGTTGTTGTGTTTGATTGTGTTGTTGTGTTGTTGTGTTTGATTGTGTTGTTGTTGTTGTTGTTGTGTTGTTTGTTGTTGTGTTGTTGTTGTGTTTGATTGTGTTGTGTTGTTGTTGTTGTGTTTGATTGTGTTGTTGTTGTGTTGTTGTTGTTGTGTTTGATTGTGTTGTTGTTGTGTTGTTGTGTGTTGTTGTGTTTGTTGTGTGTTGTTTGTTGTTGTTGTGTTTGTTGTTGTTGTGTTTGATTGTTGTTGTTGTTGTTGTTGTTGTGTTTGATTGTGTTGTTGTTGTTGTGTTTGTTGTGTTTGATTGTGTTGTTGTTGTGTTTGATTGTGTTGTTGTGTTTGATTGTGTTATTGTTGTGTTGTTGTTGTTGTGTTTGATTGTGTTGTTGTTGTGTTGTTGTGTTTGATTGTGTTGTTGTTGTTGTTGTTGTGTTTGATTGTGTTGTTGTGGTGTTTGATTGTGTTATTGTTGTGTTGTTGTTGTGTTTGATTGTGTTGTTGTGTTGTTGTTGTTGTGTTTGATTGTGTTGTTGTTGTGTTGTTGTGTTTGATTGTGTTGTTGTTGTTGTTGTTGTGTTTGTTGTGTGTTTGATTGTGTTTGTTGTGTTTGATTGTGTTGTTTGTTGTGTGTTGTTGTTGTGTGTTTGATTGTGTTGTTGTGTTTGTTGTTGTTGTTGTTGTGTTGTGTTGTTGTGTTGTTGTTGTGTTTGATTGTGTTGTTGTGTTGTTGTTGTTGTGTTTGTTTGTTGTGTTTGATTGTGTTGTTGTGTTGTTGTGTGTTGTTGTTGTTGTGTTGTTGTTGTTGTGTTGTTGTTGTGTTTGATTGTGTTGTTGTGTTGTTGTTGTGTTGTTGTTGTTGTTGTGTTTGATTGTGTTGTTGTTGTTGTGTTTTGTTTGATTGTTGTTTGTTTGTGTTTGTTGTGTTTGTTGTTGTTGTTGTTGTTGTTGTGTTTGTTGTGTGTTGTTGTGTTGTTGTGTTTGATTGTGTTGTTGTTGTGTTTTGTTGTGTTTGATTGTGTTGTTGTTGTGTTGTTGTTGTGTTTGTTTGTGTTGTGTTTGTTGTTTGTTTGTTTTGTTGTTTGTTGTGTTGTTGTTGTTGTTGTTGTGTTTGTTGTGTGTTTTGTTGTTGTGTGTTTGATTGTGTTGTTGTGTTTGATTGTGTTGATTGTTTGTTGTGTTGTTGTGTTGTTGTGTTGTTGTGTTGTTGTTGTGTTGTTGTTGTGTTTGATTGTGTTGTTGTGTTGATTGTGTTGTTGTTGTTGTTGTTTGTTGTTGTGTTGTTGTTGTGTTTGTTGTGTTGTGTTGTTGTGTTGTTGTTGTGTTTGATTGTGTTGTTGTTGTGTTTGATTGTGTTGTTGTGTTTGATTGTGTTATTGTTGTGTTGTTGTTGTGTTTGATTGTGTTGTTGTGTTGTTGTTGTGTTGTTGTTGTGTTTGTTGTGTTTGATTGTGTTGTTGTGTTGTTGCAGGTGCTGGTGTCTCTGCGTCTTCTGCTCATGATGAAGCCTCATGTTCTGAGCAGAGTGAGCAGAGAAGTTTCCTACGGCCTCCACGAGCTCCTCAAGACCAACGCCGCCAACATCCACAGCACCGAGCACTGGCACACGCTCTTCACCCTCATCGAGTGCATCGGCGCCGGGGTCCGAGCGCCCGCCAGCTTCAGGCTCCAGGCCACCTCCAGCGACCACGACACGGGTACGGGAGGGCATCTGACGCACGGGGAGGGGGTCTGAGGCACGGGGAGGTCACATGCACTCACTTCTTTATACAGTCTGTGTTTGTCCCTGCAGGCGCTCAGTGTGTCTCTGTCCTTTCAGGTGCTCAGTCTGTGTCTCTGTCCTTTCAGGCGCTCAGTGTGTCTCTCTGTCCTTTCAGGCGCTCAGTGTGTCTCTGTCCTTTCAGGTGCTCAGTGTGTCTCTGTCCTTTCAGGCGCTCAGTGTGTGTCTCTGTCCTTTCAGGCGCTCAGTGTGTCTCTGTCCTTTCAGGCGCTCAGTGTGTGTCTCTGTCCTTTCAGGCGCTCAGTGTGTGTCTCTTGTCCTTTCAGGCGCTCAGTGTGTCTTCTGTCCCTTTCAGGCGCTCAGTGTGTCTCTGTCCTTTCAGGCGCTCAGTGTGTGTCTCTGTCCTTTCAGGCGCTCAGTGTGTCTCTGTCCTTTCAGGCGCTCAGTGTGTCTCTGTCCTTTCAGGCGCTCAGTGTGTCTCTGTTCTTTCAGGCGCTCAGTGTGTCTGTCCTTTCAGGCGCTCAGTGTGTCTCTGTCCTTTCAGGCGCTCTGTGTGTCTCTGTCCTTTCAGGCGCTCAGTGTGTCTGTCCTTTCAGGCGCTCAGTGTGTCTCTATCCTTTCAGGCGCTCAGTGTGTGTCTCTGTCCTTTCAGGCGCTCAGTGTGTGTCTCTGTCCTTTCAGGCGCTCAGTGTGTCTTTGTCCTTTCAGACGCTCAGTGTGTCTCTGTCCTTTCAGGCGCTCAGTGTGTCTCTGTCCTTTCAGGCGCTCAGTGTGTGTCTCTGTCCTTTCAGGCGCTCAGTGTGTCTCTGTCCTTTCAGGCGCTCAGTGTGTGTCTCTGTCCTTTCAGGCGCTCAGTGTGTCTCTGTCCTTTCAGGCGCTCAGTGTGTGTGTCTGTCCTTTCAGGCGCTCAGTGTGTCTCTGTCCTTTCAGGCGCTCAGTGTGTGTCTCTGTCCTTTCAGGCGCTCAGTGTGTGTCTCTGTCCTTTCAGGCGCTCAGTGTGTGTCTCTGTCCTTTCAGGCGCTCAGTGTGTGTCTCTGTCCTTTCAGGCGCTCAGTGTGTCTCTGTCCTTTCAGGCGCTCAGTGTGTGTCTCTGTCCTTTCAGGCGCTCAGTGTGTCTCTGTCCTTTTCAGGCGCTCAGTGTGTCTCTGTCCTTTCAGGCGCTCAGTGTGTCTCTGTCCTTTCAGGCGCTCAGTGTGTGTCTCTGTCCTTTCAGGCGCTTCAGTGTGTGTCTCTGTCCTTTCAGGCGCTCAGTGTGTGTCTCTGTCCTTTCAGGCGCTCAGTGTGTGTCTCTGTCCTTTCAGGCGCTCAGTGTGTGTCTCTGTCCTTTCAGGCGCTCAGTCTGTGTCTCTGTCCTTTCAGGCGCTCAGTGTGTGTCTCTGTCCTTTCAGGCGCTCAGTGTGTCTCTGTCCTTTCAGGCGCTCAGTGTGTCTCTGTCCTTTCAGGCGCTCAGTGTGTGTCTCTGTCCTTTCAGGCGCTCAGTGTGTGTCTCTGTCCTTTCAGGCGCTCAGTGTGTGTCTCTGTCCTTTCAGGCGCTCAGTGTGTGTCTCTGTCCTTTCAGGCGCTCAGTGTGTGTCTCTGTCCTTTCAGGCGCTCAGTGTGTGTCTCTGTCCTTTCAGGCGCTCAGTGTGTCTCTGTCCTTTCAGGCGCTCAGTGTGTGTCTCTGTCCTTTCAGGCGCTCAGTGTGTGTCTCTGTCCTTTCAGGCGCTCAGTGTGTGTCTCTGTCCTTTCAGGCGCTCAGTGTGTGTCTCTGTCCTTTTCAGGCGCTCAGTGTGTGTCTCTGTCCTTTCAGGCGCTCAGTGTGTGTCTCTGTCCTTTCAGGCGCTCAGTGTGTGTCTCTGTCCTTTCAGGCGCTCAGTGTGTGTCTCTGTCCTTTCAGGCGCTCAGTGTGTGTCTCTGTCCTTTCAGGCGCTCAGTGTGTGTCTCTGTCCTTTCAGGCGCTCAGTGTGTGTCTCTGTCCTTTCAGGCGCTCAGTGTGTGTCTCTGTCCTTTCAGGCGCTCAGTGTGTGTCTCTGTCCTTTCAGGCGCTCAGTGTGTGTCTCTGTCCTTTCAGGCGCTCAGTGTGTGTCTCTGTCCTTTCAGGCGCTCAGTGTGTTGTCTCTGTCCTTTCAGGCGCTCAGTGTGTGTCTCTGTCCTTTCAGGCGCTCAGTGTGTGTCTCTGTCCTTTCAGGCGCTCAGTGTGTGTCTCTGTCCTTTCAGGCGCTCAGTCGGACAGCGAGCTCTCGTCTCACTCTCACTCTGAGTTGGTCGATCGCGGTTACACGTCCGACCCCGAGATCTACAACGAGAACAACAAGCCCCGCCTCCCGCGCTCCACCACCGACACCGACGTGAGCAGCGGCTGGCTCGTGGTGAGGACCGGGACTGGACTGGGACTGGACTGGGACTGGACCGGGACTGGACCTGAATCAAGTCTGACCAGGTTTAAAACAGGACTAAACAAGGTCTCAACCAGGACTCATTTATACCCAAAAGGTCCCACACCAGGTCTAAACCAGAACTCTGCCGGGACTAAGAATAGACCCAAGATCTTACAACAAGGACTGAACCAGGACCAAACGAAGACTAAAACAGGACTGAACCAGGTCCACTCGTCTTGGTTTGAGCCTAGTTAATTCTTGATGTAGACCTGGTTTAGTCCTGTTTTAGTCCAGGTTTAGTCCCGGGTTTGGTCCCAGTGTGACTCAGTCTCTGTCTCTTTTTTGCAGGTCGGTAAAGACGACCTGGAGCTAAAACCGCCCGTGAACCCAAAACCAGACTCTAAACCAGACCCAAAGCCTGTTCTGGGTCCTGTTCTGGGTCCGGGTCCGGGTCTCGGTCCAGGCCCGGGTCTGGCCCCGAAGGCGGAGGTGAGGCACGCGTTGGTGAATCAGTACAGTCTGACGGTGGGACAGGACCTGGGCCAACACGACACCAAGTCTCTGCTCAAGTGTGTGGAGACTCTGTCGTTCATCGTGAGGGACGCGGCTCACGTCACCCCAGACAACTTTGAGCTCTGCGTGAGGGCCATACGAGTGTTTGTGGAGGCCAGTCTCAACGGAGGTGAGGACCGGGACTGAACTGGACTGGGA